GGTGCAGCAGCAGCTAGCAGTCTCGGTGCAGCATTTAGCAGTCTCGGTGCAGCATCTGTAAGAGGTTAGACCTCTATTGTCCTCAGTAGAGACACTTTGGTTCACAGAAGCCCATGGAACATCACGGAACCTCATGGAACCTCATGGAATCCTATGGAACCTCACAGAACCTCATGGAACCTCATGGAATCCCATGGAACCTCATGGAACTCCATGGAATCTCACGGAAGCCTATGGAACCTCACGGAAGTCTATGGAACCTCACGGAAGTCCATGGAACCATCTAGAACCTCATAGAACTGGCTAGAACATGACGGAACCAGCTAGAACATGACGGAATCTTCTGGCTGCTGACAAATGATTACAAATGCAAATGTACATAGAACGTTCCAGAAGCAAGCAGTCTGTCTATAAAGACAGCCTGCCCTCCTGCCCTAGATAGCTCCCCATCGAATTCACTCTGTTCTACCATGCCTTCCTGCTATCTTTAGCCTGGCCCCTTACAGCATCTAGCAGTCTCGGTGCAGCAGCAGCTAGCAGTCTTGGTGCAGCATTTAGCAGTCTTGGTGCAGCAGTAGCAGCAGTCTTGGTGCAGCAGCCCCAGTGTAGCATTCTAGATTGACCTATTGACACCAAGACGTCGAGACACCATACAACAAGACAACAAGACGCACTGGCCACAGGATACAGTATATAGACAGCATGGAGAGCCCTTATGGCTCAACGTGTTTAACTCATCAAGTGAAAGCAATACTACTGTTCTATCTTCAATACGCTTTGCAGAGAGCCCCTTCTACTGCATTCATATTGTCTCCCCTCTTCAATACGCTTGACAGAGAGCCCCCTCTGCTGTAAGGATCTAAACCTAAAAGGTAATAGGCACGACTATATGCACTAGACCACTGGGCCAAAAGGCAGGCACAAGTTGAATGAACAGTATTCAACTTGAATAGTCGATATTTATGAAAAATGAGGTGGAACAACTCCACTCTCAGACCCACTTGTGGGTCTCTACATGCGGGCCTAGCCCTCACATGTAGAACTGCATGGGCCTAGCCCATCACATCTGCTGTCTGTGTATCACCCCTTTGATCCTGATCCCGTTCATTCCAGAGAACCAACCTTGCATCCCCCAACTGTGTACCATACATCTAGCCTTCCAGCTTTGGTCATACCATCCAGTCGGACAGACCCTCACATGGACCTTTGGGGTGCTGCAATCAAGTAGCCCTCCTAAGGCTGATGCTGTGGATGTTCAAGTTGCACATTAGTTGCCATTTGTAGTGGTGTAGGTAGGGCTTGACGCCCAAAGGCAGGTGTTGTTCTATTCCGTTGTGTGGTGTCTCTATGTCCGTTGTTGCTTGTTCCGTTGTCTACTTGTCACTGTGTTCCTTTGGCATCCAAACCCCTTTTTCGGCTCACTTTCCGCACACATCCGCACACGTGATGTCACTTCTACTCTACCACATGCCTCCCCCACTTCAGAACTTGGTCCCGTCAAGCTCTTGCCGTTCTCACCCGTCCACCGCACACGTGATGTCACTCCTGCTCTACCACAATAGCACAATAGGACTGCAAGGAGCTTCAATAGAAGTTGGCTGTAAGCTGGCTGCTATCATAGCTACTTAGCTGCTATGCCAGAAGGACCAGATGGGATAAGAACCCCTCTCTGGCCCTCCAATAGATAGATCAAAATCAGAATACAATTGTTCAGTTCAGTTACTTGTTTCAGCACTAGTGCTACAGGCCTATCCAACAAGATCTAGAAATTCCTCTAAATAGTACTCTAAGCTATAGTACATTTTGTGCAGTGTTGTTGTGCAGGAGTAATAGTCATGTAATAGTCACACTTTTGGTAGGGTAGGCCACTTAGTGGTTCTGGGCTGCTCAATAGTAAACTACATTATTAATTATAAACAAAAATCCTCTTCTAATGCACTTACAATTTCAAGGCAAGTAGTTGCCCTATTGTGCCGTTGCACAGAGTGTGTGCAAGGATATGGCTGCGGCGCGCAAGCAGCGTGCGTGAGTCAGCATAGGATCACTCTCATTTATCTTCGGACGAAGACTCACCCATGTACGGACACGGGGGAAATCGATCCATACACTCACTCATGTGCAGGAGGGGTACACACATATACTACGTATCACATATAGTCAATCACAGTTGCGATACATCTGCATACAGCACAACTACTCGTACATCGCGCACTGCGCGATGTACTTTGTTTTATGAAGCCAGCTTCTGTCCTTCCGTCCTCTCTTCATCTCGCTCCACACAGTCCGCGCTCTCGCCGCGCGCTCCGCACTCTTACGCTCGACCGTATGCAAGCTCTCCGCAGAGGAGGTTGTTCTGCTTTCCACAAGGATAGCAAAAATGGGCAACTTGCTCCACTCAACGGTTCACTATCTCCTCTTAATTATTGCTATAGTAAGTAGTAACTAAGGTGGGATGGTCAAGTGGGAAAAGTGCTTGACCTGGTTCTCTTAAATTTCCTGTTTTGGCAGGTTATAAAAAGAGTGTCAGTTTGAATCTGGCTCCCATCACCATTGCCTTACTTTCCAAAAGAAATGCCTTAGGCAAGCACTCCCAGTACGTTGCCTTTGGGCAGACAAAGACCTAGGGTTATAACCCTTGCCATCCCTTGTACTTCTAGAGATTCCTCCCTCTTAAAAACCCTCATCATCCAAAAACTAGAGGAGCTACTGCTCCTCTTGTTCTCTATAGTCTCAGACTCACATAGTGTAATGAGGCTACCTACTAGGACTGGACTTAGAGCCAATCCGGACCTTATGTTCTCCCTTGTTACAGTTATCACCCATGTCTGGACTTAGAGCTAACCCAGACCTGATTCAGACTTGAACCTAACTTAGTTCTGACTCAGCCTTCCCTAGCCTACATGTATTTAAGCTTGCTGTTCCCTAGATGTATATAGGCAGTTTTCTGCAATCCTTTTGTACAAGACCTATAGGTGTCAATAGATCTTAGGTTACAGTTCTCCCATGCACTCCCATATGCCTCTGAGTAAGACCATGCTAGATTTGGATCTTTTGTCTTGCCTGCGTTGTTACACATAGAACATTAAATCAATTAATCAATTAATCAATCAATAAGTAGTAACTAAATACTACATAAAAAGCGTATGCACAATTGCGCTACCTAATTAATTTAGCAATTGCGGTAACAGCATAGTCGTGGCTTATTAATAGAAGGAAGGAAAGATAGCTATTAAAGATTCCCTAGTTATCTTCCTACCTAACCCCCTAAGCATCTACCAAAGCATCTCCCTTCCTCTTTATTCTACAACACGTCTTAAATCTATGACCTCACACCCCCGCTACTGCCTAACAAACCCTTTTTCGTGCCCCACTATTCCATCCACCATCACTCAGTCATCCTTCTTCCCATCCCTGATCTTCCTGTTTTTAGGTTACGGTATATTTATCTCAATTTTGAAAGTCGTCATAAAAGAAACAAAAAAGCCCGGCTGGCACAATTGGTTAGCGCGTGGGACTTTTAATCCCAAGGCTCAGGGTTCGAGTCCCTGGTCGGGCGATTGGCGTTTTATTTTGCAAAACCTTGCCCTTCTGTCATTACTTATAACCAGCTAAAATTTACCTGCTTACTCTTTGGGCGGCGGGCCTCGCCATGTATATTTTTTTTTATGTTGCACCATGTTGTGTGAGAGGTCCCCAGGGGATCAAGGGTTGGTTTGTTTGCCTCTCAAGAACAAAATACTACACAGGATATTACTTGGAGCAAGCAGATTGTACAAAGTAAGAAGTAGTATCTAGGTAGGCTTTATTTAATACTGGACCTTGGTTTTTGTTCAGAAATGGGTTTGAACGCACAACATCATCATCATCCAGAACCTTCAATCTCCTTCTTACATGATTCGCATACATTGGTCAAATCTCCAGCCCAACATGTCGGCAGTCTCATTCCGGCGCGGCCACTTGACCAGCAACAAGCGCAATCAACGCCGCACCCACCCCGGACCCATCCTTTGCAATACCAATCCTCACCCTCTTCTCGCCCTTTGTCCCAATCTCAGCAACCGCTCGCAGCGCCTCGCGGATGTATTCCTCAAAGTTGGGGTAAAACTCCACCAGCGAGCCGTCAACACCGACATCAATCTCATCGCCGTCGCTGCCATCTACATCACCACGCGGAGGCTCGATGCTAGACTTCCTCTCCGTGGTAGCAGAGCCGGAGGGCCTGTCCAAACGGCCAGTATTGATCACGATACCGGCGATGGCAACGGCGGCAAGACGAGCGGCACGGCGACCGATAGCTGCGGCGATCTCACGCACAGCTTCGGCGTCTTCGGCGCTGACGGCCGAGATGTCGTAGTCCTTGTCGAGCGTCTGCCTCAGCATGCGGTAGCCCGGACTGCTGTCGCCGGCGCATACACTCAGGAAGCTCGTATCGAGGCCCCATTGCTTCCATATCGGGCTGCTGTCGTGTATCTGCGTGGTGCTGTGGACATCGTTTGAAGAGGAGTTATCGTCGGTGAAGAGCGGAACGTTGGGGTCTTTGATGAGCTTGAGGAGGGCGAGACGGAGGAGCTCTCCTAGAAACATGCCTGATACACGCTTCTCGAACATCTGAATGCCGGGGTTGACCGACTTCTCGTCCAGCTCGATGTCGTATGGCGTGTTGGGTAGAGTGCGCAGAGAGTTGTCGAACGAGCCCCATTCGGTGTTGACGATCATCTCACCAGTGGAACTGTCGTATTCGCCAGCGTTCTTGTCCTTTGTGAGCTTCGTGACCTTGTCCAACCTCTCGACGTATGCACCGTTGGTACCGGTTCCGAAAATCGCACCCAACAGGGTGCCGGTCTTGCCTGGAGAAGTATACGAGCGCGCCATGAGTGTTCCGACAGTGTCATTAACCAGCGCAGCCACCTTGACAGGGAGATGTAGCTCGTCGATCTCATGCTGTAGTAGAGCGCACACATCCTTGCCAACCGCATCCTGGATATCGAAGCCCTTTGTCCAGCGCATCAGCATGCCCTTGTTGATTCCTATTTGATTGACCGGGAACGAGAAGGTGAAGCCCAAGTTGAAGATCTCATCGTGTTGTGGCGGCACAGAATTTCCTTCCCTGCGCCTGAGTGTGCCGGCATAGTGTTCCTCGTGGTGTGTCTTGAGGAAGGCTTCGATTTGTTTCGCGAGGAAAGAAAAGAGCTCTTTCGACGTCTTCGCTACCATGAGCTCGCGGGGTATGGCGACTTTGCTCTGGGTGAGGGAGAAGGTGGTGTTGCCGTGCAGCTGGATGGAGCACACGCGGAAGTTGGTGCCGCCCAGGTCGACAGCCATGTAGAGGCCCTAAAGTCAACTTAGCCGTGTCCTCAATACCTCTGTGTACGAAGTATACCTTCTCCGTGCCATTAGGGACCGCAGTGACGTATGTGGGGATCTGGCTCATCTCGGTGCCCTCCTTCTCCAGGCCCTCGTCTGCGCGCCGTCAGCGACCAATTGGCCAGCTCATGTTCCCGCACATACCCATCTCCCGTATAAACTCCTTGACGGCCTTGTTGACGGCATCGTCGCCGAACTCAAACTCGGCGGCGACGCGCTTTGCCTGCTCTGCGAGTGCCATGCTGCGCGTGGGCTTTGTATTGAAGGTGCCGACGTATTTGACCTGCGCTTCAGATTCCGGACAGGTCGGAGGTTCTTGGAGCACGATTGGATTGCGGGGTGTGATGTTTAGAGCTTGGTCGTGGGTGAAAAGGCGGAGGATAGCGTAAGGGAGGTGGGGTGCGAAGAATTGGGTACCCAGCGCTAGCAGCAGAACAAGGACGGTGACGACTGAGTGGGTCGTAAGAGGAGCTGGAGGAGACGCACGCGATCGCAGACTCGGGCTTGGACTCTGGGCTGGGTTGCCGGACACGCGTGTGGCTTTATTTGGGCTCATCGCATGTGCCCCGCTTTATGACGGAGAGGGGCACTCAAGCTCGAGCTTTGGGTAGCATGAATGACCTTGTATAGCAGTACGAGCGATGCCTCGGGAAACGCGTTGATGCGAAGAGAAGACTGCGCTGTTGACCTTGCCCGCGCTAACCAGACTAAATTGAGGGGGTAATGAAGCCCTCGGCTTGATCTGAAGCTGCTTCGAATCTATGAAAGTCATGTCGTCGTCCCCTAGATCTGACTTAAATCATCTATACTTCAATTTCTACGCGTAATCTGATGATTATTTACAACGAGGTGTAGGGATCCATGTGGCGTATCACAACCATCTGCATGTATCCAGTCTACTGTTTGCCATGACAAAGAACTAGGGGCAGCCAAGCTTCAGCATTCAACTCCCATGCATAAACCGTACCACTGGCACTGGAAGCCGGCACACCCCCACTCCAAGGTCGTGCCATTGATCTACAGGCGGAACGAGCCATTCGAGTCTTGCAACGGGGGGGTGCTCGCACAGCACTGGCGCTAGCAGAAATGAGGGGTAGGTATCGTGAAGCCATCAACAGGTAGGCGACTGGCTCTAGTATGGTACGCATCAATTCCGCAATTTCCCACACACTATCCTTTGTCGTGACATGCCCAAGTCTGACATTGCCATCATCTTGCCAAGGTGAAAAAGGAACGTCATGTTTGCTTTTATTGCTCGTCCCTACGTAGAACATACTCCACTACTCAAATACCTCCCCATCCAGCCCTTCAAGACAAACTCAGTCAACCACCCACTTCCGCTTGCCATCAATACTCGCTGACGGATAGATAGTAGTCGTGGTAGTAGTAGTAGTAGTAGTAGTAGTAGTAGTAGTAGTAGTAGTACACACTCAGCGTATTGGAAATAAACCTTCAAAGCCCTCAGAAAGCAACAAGAGTACCCGAAGATATGGATGCCAGTAGTACAGGCAAAGCAAAGCAAAATCCATGTGCATGTATCGAAAACTCCGTAGTATAGCAAACAAAGACCCAGCCCCACTTAGGCAAACCCGTGCAAAGTAGTGAAGAAAACCTGATTAGCGGGCTGCCACAGTTTGTTGTGTGTGTGAAAAGAGAAAGGAGAGAGAGGGCGCGGCCGCGTCAACAACTATGTACGATTAGTGACAAAAAAGAAACAGGAAAGCAACGACCCTCATCATAGGGCCGGTCTGTGTACGTCAAAATGTGTCCCCCCATAAGCCAATTTCTATTCGTCATTAAATGTCCGCCACGAGCCTCAGAGCGAGCCCTGGCCATTCGCAAACCCTCCCCGACTTCGATGATGTTGTGTGCTCGAGTAGTGATACATCGGTGCGTATACGTGTTGGTGGAGAAAGCCGAGAGACCCTTGATGTGTTTCGCGCCCTGCCGTCGAAGAGTACAGGGGCAAGGATGTGTTGATCGAAAAGCAGTAGTAGATAGTTCGCCAATGTGTCGCCAATGTTGAAACGGTGTCCATGCAAGATGCCAACATACTCCAAACCGATGGCCGCCAAAATCCCAAGTCGAACATGATCCCTCAATTACCGGACGCCGAGCGGAGGACGGGGTCCTAGACTGCTCTGGCTGCTGTGCGCAGAGTTTTCCGAATCTATGTTGTCACCACTGGCGGAGGCACTTCCAGTCAGACTGCGAACTTGAGGACGAGACTTGGGCGGGTAAAGAGTGCTCACCCCAGCGTGTTGTTCAACCTGTTGCGGCGCTACTGCGTTTCCATGACCAGGAGGGTGTCGTGGTACGGGCTGTCTCATGCCAGGGGGCGATGGACGGCCGTTGGGTGGCATGCCATTCGGAGGCATGCCGTTGGGAGCGTACCCGTTCGTGGGCATGCCATTGGGAGCATACCCGTTCGGAGGCATACCATTGGGAGCATATCCATTTGGAGGCATGCCGTTGGAAGCATATCCGTTCGGCGGTGATGGACGGCCCATAGGTCGAGGACCGGGACTCAGAGGATTACCCGGCGACTGGCTTGCTCGACGGGCGTTGGGAGCAGGATAAGCACCATAGCCTGCGCCGCCTGCAAGCTCATCTAGACGCGTTGCGGTCAGTGAGTTCGTTCTCGACTGCGCACCCATAGTGCCGCGGTCGACATCCCCGTAGCGGTTGGACGAGTAGCCCATGAGAGGATTGTTCATGATAGAGTCGTGTAGACCGGGAACATCCGCCATCAATCGAGCACTACTCCGATTCTTATTCGCTCCTGGACGCGCAAAAGGGTTCCTTGCTCGACCGTTCGGTCCAGGATTGAACCCTGCGTTCTCGGGGTTTTGGCGAATCTGCTTGGCACTTGGTGCTGCGCGATTGCGGCGCGAGGTTACGCTCATCATATCAAAGTTATCAGGATCGATCGCTGGTCCAGCGCCGCGGCCTCCCATGGGGTCAAAGTAATCATCCCCATCATCATCGTCATCCTCGAAACCACCCATTGAGGGAGGTGGCGGGGGTCGCCCTCGACCCCGACCAGGCCCGCCAGTTCCACCAGGGCCCATAGGCATAGGACCGCCTGGACCCATGGGACCACCGGGACCACCGGGACCACGTCGCATATTGAGCTCCTGCTCTCTAAGCTGCAGCTCCCTCTGTCTCAACATGAGCTCTCTTTCCCGAAGT